AAATAGACCCAAGAAACAATTGGGGGTAGCAATCCTAATATCTAACAAATTAGACTTTAAACTAAAATCAATCAAAAAGAGATGAAGGAGGTCATTTCATACTCATCACAGGAGAAATCCACCAAGATGTAGTTTCAATTCTGAACATCTATGCCCCAAATACAAAGACATCCACGTTGGTAAAACAAACATTACTAAAACTCAAATCATACATGAAACTTCACACACTTATAGTGGGAGACTTCAATACTCCACTCTCACCACTAGATGAGACCACCAGACGGAAACCTAACAAAGAAGCAAAGGAACTAACAGAAGTTATGACCCAATTGGGTTTAACAGACATCTATAGAATATTTCATCCAAACACAAAAGAATATACCTTCTTCTCAGCACCACATGGAACCTTCTCAAAAATTGACCACATACTTGGCAACAATCAAACCTCAACAGGTACAAAAAAAATTGGAATAGCTCCATGTGCCTTATCAAACCACCATGTGTTAAAGTTAGAATCCAACAACACAAAGTACAGAAACCCTACAAACTCATGGAAATTGAATAATGTGCAATTGCACCATTCCTGGGTCAAAGTAGAAAAAAAAAGAAATTGAAGACTTCCTAGAATTCAATGAGAGTAAAGACTCAACATATCCAAACTTATGGGACACTTTGAAAGCAGTGCTAAGAGAAAAGCTCATAGCACTAAGTGCCCACATGAAGAAATTGGAGAATAGTCACACTAGAAAATTAACAGCACAACTGAAAGCCCTAGAACACAAAGAAGCAAACTCATCCCTGAAGAGTAGACAGCAGGAAATAATCAAATTGAAGGCTGAAATCAATAAAGTAGAAACTAGGAAAACAATGCAAAGAATCAATGTAACTAAGAGTTGGTTCTTTGAGAAAATCAACAAGATAGACAAACCTTGATCCAAACTTACCAAACGACAGAATGTGAACATGCAAATTAACAAAATCAGAAATGAAAAGGGGGTCATAATGGACACTAAGGAAATCCAGAGAATCATCAGATCATACTTTGAAAAGCTGTACTCCACAAAATTTGAAACTTTAAAGGAAATGGACAATTTTTGATAGATATCACTTGCCAAAATTAAATCAAGAACAGATAAACAATTTAAATAGACCTATAGCCCCTAAGGAAATAGAAGCAGTCATCAAAAGTCTCCCAACCAAAAAAGCCCAGGTCCCGATGGCCTCAATGCAGAATTCTACCAGAAATTCAAGGAACAGCTTATTACCAATTCTCCTCAAAGCTTTCCACACAATAGAAACAGAAGGGTCTTTGCCAAACTCTTTCTACAAGGCTTCAATAACCTTGATACCGAAGCCACACAAAGACACAACTAAGAAACAGAACTTCAGACCAATATCCCTCATGAACATTGATGCAAAAATACTCAATAAAATACTGGCAAATTGGATCCAAGAACACATCAGAAAACTCATCCACCATGATCAAATAGGCTTCATTCCAGGGATGCAGGGATGGTTCAACATATGAAAATCCATCAATGTAATCCAACACCCTTTCATGATAAAGGTCTTGGAGAGATCCAGAATAACAGGAACTTACCTAGACTTAATGAAAGCTATATACAGCAAACCAACAGCCAATAAATATCAAGCTAAATGGACAGAGACTCAACACGATTCTTCTAAAATCAGGAGCAAGACAAGGCTGTCCACTCTCTTCTTTTTTACCCTGCTCTTGTCTTGGTCCCTTTTTTATCCCACCTTACCTTGGGAACTTACCAGCGCGATGCCCTGACTGCAGAAAGTTCTGAGTCAATTGCAGAGGGTCCCCATACGGGCCACCACTTGTCACGACTACCTCGACCAGCAAGGAAGACGCAACACTCGGACTCTTCTTTAAGCAGTTTATTCAGGAACCTTGAACAATCTTCTGACCCCGGAGAGTGCCCACCCACAGCTTAAAAAGGCCCTTGGGCGGCCAACCCTGGTAAGCCATGTGGCAACAGCAGATTGGTCCACATACACGGAAGCAAACCTGATATCCAGCCTTGACCAAATAAGGAGTTGTTTATCACAGACAGCACTTGCTGTCGGGCTAGCAGAAGGTGGAAGCTAGTGCCATCTTAAGGGTGTGGCACTTCGCATCTCTCTACAGAATAGAAAAAACAATGGAACCTTGAAATTTGCAGGCAAATGGATGGCACTAGAAGAAACCATCCTGAGTGAGGTAACCCAGTCACAAAAAGACAAACAGGATGTACTCACTCATAAATGGATTTTAGACATGGATCAGGGGAGTTCCAGCCTACAGTCCCATTGCCAGAGAGTCTGGGAAACAGATCTGTCAACCAATGACTGATGGAAACAGAAGCAGATACCCACAACTAAACACTGAACTGAACTCAAGGAACCCAGTGACAGGGAGAGAGGACTGATGAGCAAAGGGGTCAAGACTTGGCTTGTTAAACCCACAGAAACAACTGACCTGAACAAGAGGGAGCTCTTGAACCCCAGACTGATAGCTGGGAATCCAGCATGGTACTGATCCAGACCCCCTGAAAGTGGGTGCCAGTGAGGAGGCCTAGGCAATCTATGGGGCCTTGGGTAGTATTTATCCCTGGCATACAAATGGACTTTGGCTGCCCATCCCACAATGAGAGATGCTCTTTCAGCCTGGAATCTTGGGAGAGGGCCTAGGCCCTGCCCTGGATAAACCGACAGACTCTGGAGATCCTCCATGGAGGGCCTCACCCTCCCTGGGGATCAGAGTGGAGATTGGGTGGAGGACTAGGGGGCCTGGTGGGGGATTGGGGGAGGAGTGGAAGGAGAGGAAGGTGGGATTGACATGTGAAGCAAGCTTGTTTATAACTTAAATTTAAAAAAGGAAGAGGAAAAAAAAAGAAATGGATTAAGGTAGTGGTGTATTCAGGGTAAGATTCCAACTTGTTAAAAGAACCTAAAGAAAAGTTTAGAGCCAGGTATGCTGGTGCATGCCTTAATCCCAGCACTCAGTAGGCAAAGGCTGTCGTATCTCTGAATTTGAGACCAGCCTGGTCCACAGGACAAATTCAAGAATAGCCAAACTTAGGCTGTGAAGGAAAACAGAAAGCTGGTGAAGATGCAACTAAACAAAGGGACCATGTTCCAGTCCCAGCAAACAGCAGAACTTGGCAGCTTTGGCCACATGGTTCTGGAGTTAAGAATGGAAGAAAGGAGCTATAGAATTGGTCTCCACACCTAAGGAAACTGTTTAGGCGAGACATGTGTCAGGGGTGTCCCATTTCATAAAGTTGTGAAGTTGAAGCCTGGATTGCCTTGGAGACTCCAAGATGTTGGAGATGCTAGAACTGTGGGATACCTGCCAAGAAAAGCTGCTAACAAGGGGTGGAACTAGCCAAAAAGAAAGAAATGTGTCGCAGTCAACAAAGCTGAAAGGAATTGGAGATCTGAAAAACTTTCTGACATCAGACATGAACATGCAGAGCTTGGAGCTTGCCCAGCTGGTTTTTTGGTCTTGCTTTGGTCCAGAATTTCCTCCATATACTCCCTTCCCTACATTTTGGAATGGTAGTATATATTCTGTGCCACTATATTTTTTTTTTATTTCATCGGAGGTTACAGTTAAAGAGATTACATGAATCTCAGAAGAGACTTTGGATTTTGGACTTTTAAACACTGTTGAGATGGTGATAGACTATGGGGACTTTTGGTGTTAGATTAAATGTATTTTGAATTACGATATTCTTATAAGCTTATGGGGGTCAGGGAGTGGAACGTAGTAGTTTGAATGTAATAGGCTCCCATAAGCTCATAGGGAGTGGGATGCTGCAACGATAAACGGCACACTTACTGAAAGTATAAGTAAGTATTTATTGTAGAAATTACTCACAAGAGACAAACAAGCAACCCAGATGAGCCGAGTGTTTTTCCGCCGCCGAACTGGATGTAGACCTCTCAGTTCCTTCTCCAGCACCATGTCTGCCTGCATGCTGCCATTTCTCTCAGCATAATAATAGTGAAATAAATAAACCTCTGAAATTGTAAGCCACCCAATTAAATGTTTTCCTTATAAGAGTTGCTTTTAAAGGAAACCATAATTAAGGCATCAGCCAAGGTATCCAGTGGTAGGACTGGAATACCAACCCAACCACAAAACCTTTGGCCCACAATTTGTCCTTCCTGCAAGTTATGCTGGGGCAATGGCAGTTTACAGCTTGTGGGATTGACACAAGAGGGAACCCATGCCCAACACTGCCTGGATAGGTAGGAAACAAAAGATGGATGGCCCAGAGACCTAGGGTAGATCCAAAAATGACCTGCAGAAAAAAAGTCAATGATTCTTAATGATATTATGCTCATAGATGGGTGCCCAGTCCAGTTGTCATCCGAGAGGCTTCTTCTGGCAACTGATGGGAGCAGATGCAAAGACACACAGCCAAACATTAGGCAGAGCTCAGGGAACCCCAAAGAAGAGGTAGATGAAGGATTGTAGAAGCCAGAGGGGTTGAGGATACCAGTAGAATAGCCCACAGAATCATCTAAGCAGGGCACATAGGGGCTCAAGGAGACTGAAGCAGAATCATGGGCACCTATGTGGGTCTACACTAGGTTCTCTGCATATATGTTGTGATTGTTTACCTTGAAGCTTTTGTAGAACTCTTGACAGTGACAGTGGGGGCACCTATGGCTCTTTTGCCTGCTCTTGGGACTCTTTCCTTTCTACTATGTTGCTTTGTCCAGCCTCAGTATGAGTGTTTGTGCCTAGTTTTATTGCATCTTGTTAAGCCATGTTTAGTTGATATGCTTGGGAGGCCTACTCTTATCTGAAAAGAAACAAAGGAGTAGTGGACCTGGGGGAGAGAGGAGGTAGGGGGAAGGACTGAGAGGAGTAGAGGTGATCAGGATGTATTATATGAGAAAAATAAATAAAAATTTAAAAGTGTGAGCAGAAGACTATGGAATCTTTTGATACAAAAACCTGAGTGGGGAAGGCGGGGCGGATGAATTTGATTCAACAGTGTTCCCAGGTAAATGAGCTAAAGGAGAAGGGCAAAGGCCCTGAGTGCTGGAAACACTGATGACGCCTTACAGTGCTACTCTGAGGCAATTAAACTCCATCCCCAGAACCATGTGCTCTGTAGCAACTGCTCTGCAGCCTGTGCCAAGAAAGGAGACTACCAGAAGGCCTATGAGGATTGCTGCAAGACTGACCTGAAGCCTGGCTGGGGCAAGGGTTACTCAAGAAAAGCAGGAGCCCTTGAGTTCCTAAACCGGTTCGAAGAAGCCAAGCGAACCTATGAAGAGGGTTTAAAACATGAAGCCAATAACCTCCAGCTAAAGGAGGGCTTGCAGAACACGGAGGCCAGGTTGGTAGAGAGGAAATTCATGAATCCTTTCAACTTGCCTAATCTGTACCCAGGATGATCCCAGGACAACGACACTGCTCAGTGACCCTACCTACCAGAAACTCATAGAACAGCTACAGAACAAGCCTTCAGACCTGGCCACGAAAATACAAGATCCCTGGATCATGACTACTCTCAGTGTCCTCCTTGGGGCTGATCTGGACAGTATGGATGAAGAGGAAGAGGCAGCAACACCCCCACCCCCACCTCCTCCCAAAAAGGAGGCCAAGGAGCTGGACCGCACCAACATGACTTACATAACTAATCAAGCAGCTATGCACTTTGAGAAAGGCGACTACAACAAATGCCGGGAGCTGTGTAAGAAGGCAATTGAAGTGGGCAGAGAGAACCGAGAGGATTACCAGCAGAGTGCCAAAGCTTATGCCCGGATTGGCAGTTCCGATTTCAAAGAAGAAAGGTCCAAGGATGCTATTGATTGCTACAATAAATCTCTGGCAGAGCACAGAACCCCAGATGTGCTCAAGAAGTGCCAGCAGGCAGAGAAAATCCTGAAGGAGCAAGAGCGACGGGCATACTATCAACCCTGACTTGGCTTTGGAGGAGAACACTTCCAGAAAGGACACTACCCCTAGACCATGAAGCACTATACAGAAGCCATTAAACAGACTCAAAAGATACCAAACTGTACAGTAACTGAGCTGCCTGCTACACCAAGCTCCTGGAGTTTCAGCTGGCACTCAAGGACTGTGAGGAGTGCATCCTGCTGGAGCCAATCCTTATCAAGGGTTACCCACGGAAAGCAGCCGCCCTGGAAGCCATGAGGGACTATACAAAAGCTCTGGATGTGTACCAGAAGGTGCGAGACCTGGACTCCAGCTGTAAGGAGGCAGCAGATGGTTACCAGCGCTGTACAACAGACATGACAGCCCTGAGGATGTGAAACGACGAGCCACGGCTGACCCTGAGGTGCAGCAGATTATGAGTGACCCAGCCATGAGGCTCATCCTGGAGCAGATGCAAAAGGACGCCCAGGCTCTGAGCGAACATTTAAAGAACCCTGTAATAGCACAGAAGATCCAGAGCTGACAGATGTGGGTCTGATCGCAATTCGGTGATAACTTGAGCTGGGACGGTGGCCAGCAGCACTGGGCGGGGCAGGGGCGGGGGAAGAAAGGCCTACCTTTATTTTTATACATGCCTGCAAGGAAGACAGACTCATCCAGGGCCACCTCGGGCCCTCTCAGCACACGCATGGTCTCTTCACTGCTGCTCTCGAGTGTTGTTCCCTGCCCTCCCCAAACCCCCGTCACTGTCTCTGCTGCTCCCCTATAGTTGGTTGTTTTTGGGGGGGCAGTGGGTGCATACGGGGAGGGGAGGGTGTTCTTCCCTACCTGGGGTCCCAGCTGTCTTCACTTGTTGTTACCCCCATGTCCTTCAATAAAACAGGCCAGTCAGGCATGGCTATATGTTGAAAAAAAAAAAACCTGAGTGACTTTTTTTATATCGTCATTTTCTCACAGTATTAAAGAAGATCCCTTCCCTGTAGTAATTTCTCACCCTTGGTGGGTTGTGTGTGTGTGTGTGTGTGTGTGTGTGTGTGTGTGTGTGTGTGTGTTTTGTGTGTGTATGTCATGATCATGAAATCTGAAAGATGTACAAAATTACACATGAAGTTATTGTTCAATTATTATTGCTTCCAGGGGATGGGAAGAGAGAGAGAGTTGAGAATTACTGGAATTACTCAATTTTCCTCTACAGATCCTAATTAGCACTGTCTCTGGTTACAGTAAATGCATGCCATTTTTATGATTTTTAAAAGCAATGACAAGCCAGGCAGTAGTGGCTCACACCTTTAATCCCAGCACTTAGGAGGCAAAGGCAAGCAGATCTTTGTGAATTCAAGGCCAGCCTGTTCTACAGAGTGAGTTCCAGGACAGCTAGGGCTACTCAGAGAAATCCTGCCTCCAAAAAAGAAAAGTTGTTTTCAGTTGGAGAGATGGCTCAGAGGTTAAGAGCACTGGCTGTTTTCACCGAGAACCCAGGATCAATTCCTAGTACCCACATGACAGCTCACAGCTGTTTGTAACTTCAGTTTCAGAGATCTGAAGCCTTCTTCTGGACTCTAAAGGCACTGCATTTAGGGGGTACGCAGACATTGATGTATGCAAAATACCCATACACATAAAATAAACAGTAAAAAATTGTAAAATTAACTTGAAAAAGAATGAATTTTTTTCATGGTAAGATTTCAAAGAAAGACGAGATGAATATATCAAGAGTGACAGGTATAGCATCAAGCCTCTGTGAGTGAGGGCACGTGCCACCAAGCCTGAGGATCTGAGTTTGAGCCCCAGCACCCCCTGGTGGAAGGAGAGAACCAACTCCCAAAGTTGCCAGACCTCTCATGTGCACTATGCCATGTGTGAAAAATGACAGGGGGGATTTCCTTGCATTTGTGTACCCAAAGATATACCCAGTAAGTAAATATGCCCACACAAATCAAAGAGCATGGGGACAAAGCACACCCCCTTTCCTTCCAGACCACACCAACGTGCCGGGGGATGCTGATAAGTTACAATGTTACTTAGGGGGCAACACAGCCAACCTTGGACCTTGCCCTGAGCGAATGAGAAGATAATTACCTCTGCAGGCAGCAGTCTGTACAAACTCCACTGACTAGATGGCCTTGAGAACAGAAAAATCTAGAGGCAAATTATCTCAAGTCCCTTTGAAGATGCTTCCTTGTTTTCCAAGTCAGAGTCCATAGCACCGAATGGATTAGCCACTGAATGGAGAGCTGTATAATCATGTGTGGTAGAAACATTATGATTAATATGAATATTGAAATGGGAATTCCATGGGCATTAGTCTCACTGCAGCCTCTGTCCTTAAGATCTTATTAACAATTCTCATACCTCTTGAGAAGATAATACTTGCCTTTACATTTTTTTCTTTAGGGACTGGAGAGATGGCTCAGTGGTTTAGAGCAATCACTGCTCCCCGCAGGAGGACCTGAATTTGGATCCCAGCACCCACCAGTGGTTATCAACTATGGGGACAGGGCATGCACACTACATTCTTACATGTAGTCAAGACACTCACACCCATAAAATAAAAAAAACAGTCAAAACAACTGAAATTCTAATGAAAACTGGCCCCATACCTGGGGGATGCTCAGCTGATAAGATGTGTGCTGTGCAAGCATGGGGAGCCAAGCTCCATCCCCAGAATCCACGTGATGAAAAGCGTCTGTGATCTCCTTAACCATCACTCACCCTGTGCTACTGCCTAAGTTCTTGCTTTATCTGATTCCCTGCCCAGCTTACATCTCAGATGACCGCCCCATGGTCCTGCATTTTGAGTGCATACACACTTGTAATCCCAGACCTAGGAAGACGTACAAATTGGACCAGCCAGCCTACCAGTGAGGTCCAGGTCAGGCAGAACCTCTATCAAAAAAAAGTAGACACTTCAATAATACCCAGGTTGTCTTCTTGCCTCCACACACATGTGCTCACATGTGCACGCACATACACATGCCCCTGCAACCACACAAACCAGCATGCTTCAGTAACACAGGGTTTGAGAGGAGTCTATGGAGTCAGCGTAAACTAGACTTTTCTATCTGAGGGGTTTTAGGGAAAAAGACACTCACACACTCTCTTCATGGCTTCCTTCTTTATTCTCTGTTCGCTCATACTCTTTCTGTGTTCTTTCTACTGTATAGTTTTTTTCTGTAGCTTATATATCCCAACAAAGTTTTTCAGGCATTGTAATAAGAATTACAATGTGATTACAGTCTGTTTTTCAAGTGAATGATTACAATGAATACAAAAGAAATAGTAAAAAAAGAAAAAAGCATGTTTTCCATATCTCATATATGATTAAACATTTTACATACTGCAGGTGAAAAACAAATTATCCCAAGAACTTACATACATCCACACTCAGGCAACTTGTTATAGGTGAACTATGTGAGGAAGCAAGCTATTCTTGTCAGGTCTTTTACTGGCAGGCTGCATTTTGCAGCTACAAAGAAAGGGCCAATTACTTTATTACTTATTTGTTACTTATAAGGAACCTTAAAGGAATCATAAACCTAACCTAAACTTTTATATATGAAAAAGAATCAATCAGCTCAACTTTAAATATTTAGGGTACATACCCACTCAATAGTTTTTTTTAAATATCAGAAGATTGAGGGCAAAAAAAATGTGTATAAGGAATTAGTCATCCCCTTTGGCCATCAACCAATCCTAGCAAGAAAGGTATGTCAGCCAATGATAATTGGGCTGCTTTGTTCTTATTCCCTGACCTTAGAGTTTCACATTGAACTATGTGCCTTTCTAAAACTTTAGATTTGGGGGGGTTCACCTCAAAGCTATTTAACAATACCATATTAGTCTAACTTTGTTATTTTTAAAGCTGTGTTTCAGCTATGATGCACTCTGAAACCTGTGAACATATATCCTGATATTAAGGTTAAAAGAATTCAAACTAGTTGGGCTCCTGGGACTCAATTGGTTTTTCTCAATCATTAACTTGAGCTACAATCCATGCAGCTCCTTAGGTGAAATCCACAGGCCCTAGCTGTGAAACATATCCTTGTGTTTACTTTTATCCATCAAAACTCTGTATAGGCTATCATTATTATTACCAATTTAGACAGCACAGCTTAGGGAAGGGCCATCTACTTGACAATCCACAGGTGAAAATGGCTGGTAGAACGGGGTGTTACCAAGAGATAGACACACTTTATTACAGGCAGTGGAGACCTCCCCACATCCACTCACACCGTGCTCAGTGCCAGAGAAAGAGGGCTGCAGCAAACATGCAGAGACACAGCCGAAGCAAAAGACGTTCCAGGGTCTGCAGGCCTGGAAACAAGATGAGCCCATCAGAGTTTCCTTCTGGTGAGCTAAAACCAAACTTCAATTGCCACTTGCTGCTCCTGTGGCCAACAGCATAGCTGTCACCTGTCCTCACTAGTTTTATGTCAACTTGACACATGCTGGAGTCATTTGGGAAGAGGCACTGTAGATCAAGAAAGTGCCTCCACAATCTATGAGGCCACTAGCAATGGGTCCAAGATCTAACACTCATGCACAAACTGACTTAGTGGAGCCCATTCTTTATGGAGAGATACCTTGCCCAGCCTAGACACAGGGGTGTGGGGGTGGAGAGGTTCCTTGATCCTGCCTCAACGAGATGATGGGACAGACTTAGTAGACTCTCCGAGGAGCAGATGGCAGATGGAAGGTGGGATGGGGGAAGTGGGGGATCAGGAGGAGAGGAGGAAGGAGGAACTAGGATTGGAATGTAAAAAGTAAATTAATAAAAAAGCAAAAAAAAAAAAGGAAAAGAAAGTGACTCCATAGATTTGCCTGGGAGCAAGTCTGTAGCGCATTTTCTTTTTTTCTTTTTTTTTTGATAAATTTTATTTATGTGTGAGTGCTCTGTCTGCATGTATGCCTGAATGCTAGAAGGCATCAGATCCCATTATAGATAGTTGTGAGTCACCATGTGGGAGCTGAGAATTGAACTCAGGACCTCTGGAAAAGCAGCCAGTGCTCTTAATGACCAAATCATCTCTCCAGTTTTGTATGCATTTTCTCAATTACTTACTGGTAAGAGAATGCTCAGGCCATTGTGATGGTGCCACCCCTATGCAGGTGGTCCTGTAAACTGTAAGAAAGCAGGCTGATGCTGACAGTGGTGGTGCCTGCCTTTAATCCCAGCACTCAGGATACAGAGGCAGGCAGATCTCTGAGTTCAAGGCCAGCCTGGTCTACAAAGTGAGTTCCAGTACAGTCTCCAAAGCTACAGAGAAACGCTTCTTGAGAGGAAGAAGAAGAGGAGGAGGAGGAGGAGGAGGAGGAGGAGGAAGAGGAGGAGGAGGAGGAGAAGGAGGAGGAGGGAAAGAAAGAGATAGGGAGAGAGAGAGAGAGAGAGAGAGAGAGAGAGAGAGAGAGAGAGAGAGAGAGAGAGAGAGAGAGAGAGAGAGAGAGAGAGAGAGAAACAGATTGGGCAAGCCAGGAGAGAGAAAGCCAGTAAATGGCGTTCCTCCATTACCTTCACTTCAGTTCACTCTCATGTATTGTTTTTTAAGGACAGGGTCTCTCACTGGGAC